GCTGGGTAAACTGTATATCCATACAGAAAAAAATGAAACTTGACTCCTACCTCACACCATACACCAAAATAAATTCTAGGTGCATTGTAGATCTATAGGAGTAAAACAAGACAAAACTTTAGAGCTGCCCTGTCCAATATCATCACCATGCAAGTGACTTCAGCACCTGAAATGTGGCTCAGTCAGAATTGGGATGTTTGTAAGAGAGCAAATTGATACATTTGGACTACATTAAAATTAGAAACTTCTAATGAAAAGACATGATTAAGGGAATAAAAAGACAAGCTGTACAGTGAGAGAAACCAAGAAAGAGCTTCTGTCCAGGATATATAAAGAACTACACAAATAAGAAAAAGAAGGACAACCAAATAGAAAAATGGGGGCAGACCCCGTGGCGCACTTGGAGAGTGTGGTGCTGGGAGCACAGCAGCGCTCCCGCCGCGGGTTCGGATCTTATACAGGGATGGCCGGTGCGCTCACTGGCTGAGTGTGGTGCAGCTGGTCAGGAAAAAGACACACACACAAAAAAACCCAAATAGAAAAATGGGAAGATCTGAACTCAAAAAGAAATATCACAGAGAATATCTAAATGGCATATACACATACAAAAAAAAGTGTTCAACTTCATTAATCATTAGTTGTTAGTGAAATGACTACTGAGATATCATTACACAAGCTTCAGAATTCCTTAAGTGAGAAAGACTGATAATACTAAGTGTTGGCTAGGAAGCAGAGCAACAGCAACCCGCAGAGGCTGCTGGTGGGCATGTAAATTGCCACAACCACTTTAGAAAACAGTCTGGTGTTAACCACTAAATTATACACTTTAACTATGACACAGCAATTTTACTTGTAGGTATATACTGAAAAAATTTCACACACAAGTCCACCAAGATACATATGAAAATATTCATAGCAGCCGCATAATTTGCAATGGCCACAATCTGGACACATCCCAAATGCCCATTAACAATAGAATATATAATAGCATATATAAATATACTAGAGCATGTTTGTGCAACAGAATACTACACAGAACAGAAAAATGAAAAAATGGCCATTACATACCACAGCATGGATATCTCTCACAAATATTATGTTAAGCAAAAGAAGCCAGACACAAAAAATACATACCTTCTGATTCTGTTTACATAAAATTCAAAGCCAATCCATGATACTAGAAGGCAGAAAGGGGTTACCTTTGGGGAGGTAGGAAGGGGTAATGATTAGTAGAAGGTTCTTGAGGAGTTGGAAACATTTTATTTCTTGATTTGATTTGATTGGACTCCTCCTGACTTCTGGCTAACTCTAACTTATTTTCTGGATCTCGCCTCAGGCTCCAGGGGAAACCTCATACTGCCAGAAGCTTCCCTGGGGTAACAGAGTTCAGGAAGCACCGTAGGCTTCTTTATTACATCCCTCCTTCCACTCTCCTATAGCTATGAGTTTAACTGTCCATCTCTCCTAGAATGTGAGTTTCTTTAGGGTAGGGCACTCTGTGTGTGACTCATCTCTGTCTCCTAAGTGTCTAGTGGCTGGCAGGTGCTCCAGAAAAAGATCTAGGGAAAGGGCTGGCCAGTTATCTCACTTGGCTAGAACGTGGTGCTGATAACACCAAGATCAAGGGTTCGAATCCTCATACTGACCAGCCGCCAAAAAAAAAATTTAGGGAGAAGGTGACCTTGGAGGTGGCTTGTAAGTATTCAGCCATTGGAGCCTGGGAATGAATATTTCAAGCAAAGGCATAGGAGTGAGAAGATTCAGAAGGAGGGAAGACATGAGCATGTTCAAGGAAGCTGGAAATGTTGATCTGGTTGAGGCCAAGGCTATCTATAGAAGGAAAAAAAAATCTATAAAGGTCAGTTTGACGTAGCCAGGAAGAACTTGAATGCTAGGACTTTAATCTGTGGGCAATGGGAAACCACTGAAAGATTTTGAGCAGGGGTGTGACATGATCAGCACTCTGATATGGGCATATATATCTGGTGGGAGAATGAATGCTAGATTGAAAAACTTAATGTTTGAAAGTTCAAGGGGAAAAACTATTTTGATGGTCTAGGTAAAAGGAATGGAAGAACGAGAACCCACTCAAGAAATATTTCTGAGGTATAATAGACTCAAAATGCTGCCAGGAGTGGTGGCAGGGGAAAGGTTTGGGTTTCAGCCCACATTAAATCCTGGTGGGCCCTGGAGCTGGTTGCTTTCTCCTGTTGCTTACCCTCCACTGAAAAATCTGGCCATTGAGAGACTCAGAAAAGATCATGGATGTGAAAGTATGCAGTAAACCGTAATGTGTGTGGGGATGTAGATGAGAGAGAATGAGGAGTCAGAGCTATGTCTGGAGACTAGGGTGAGTGGGGCACAGAGGAAGAACCGGTTTGGGGAAGAGGAAGGGAAGGGAGAAATGATGGGTACATTTCTTTAGTGTTGGCCTCTGTTGAGATTTAGAAAAGCCCATGACAAGGTTCCCAGGTTGTTACAGAATCCTGTGTAACAGAATTGCTTGTGAGTTTGTGCCTTTGTTCTGAGCAGCCACTGGAGGCTCCCTCTGCTCAGGGTCTAGTGCAGAACAGGCCCTATATGAATATTGAACTGAACTAGGACATAGTCACTAACATGGGCTCTTAATCTGCTTGGAGAGATGAGAATTTGACACAAGCAGTTAAACAACAGTGGAAGGCAGCACAGAATTAGAGACCAAGAAAAGAGGAGAGGAGAGAGGTTTTCTGAAGGAGCTGGGACAAAGCCATGGGCAAGGCTTGGGAAGCACTGCAAGGGAAGATAACAGCCTGGGCAAAAGCCTAGAGGTGGGAATGTTGGTGGCACATTTAGGGCATAGATAAAATAGTACGAAATCAGGAGAGGTCAGTGAGGGGCCAATGGTGAAGGGCCTTCAAGCCTAAGTCAAGTGGTTCTGATTTTATTTAAATAGGGAAAAGGAAACCCTTCAACATTTCTGGGCAAAGAAGTGACACAAGACATTTCAGAAGAAAGGTTCTGACTGCTGTGGGTGTATAGGATGGATTAGTGGGGGAAAGCCAAAAGGCAAACCCAGCAAGGGGGCTTCTGAAATAACGGTGGTGTTACAGCAGTGGAAATGGGAAGGAAGGGATACAATTTGGTGATATCCGGAAAAAAAGTATTGACAGGTTTTGGTGATGAGTCACTTAAAGTGAGCAGATGGAAAGGAAATGATCCTCAGGTTTCCAGCCTGAAAAATGATATTTCTGTAAAAATTTATAATTTTATTTTTAATAAAGCACACTTATTCAGAAGATACATTAAGCTTAGATACAGAATAAACGAAGTTAAATACAAGCCACTCTGACGTTAATGTGAACTATCAGTTATGACTTAAAAAAGGAAGCCAGGCCTCTCTGTCTTCCTTTAGTCACTGACACCCAATGTTCTCTTGGGGACAAAAAGGACAACAACAAAAGCCTCCTGAGGAAGGACTTTAGAATGAGACAGCAAAACACTGTCTTATTCTTGTGCAAAACCCCAGTGCATACTCACTGTGCCCTAAGCTTCCAAAGATACACAGTAAGGAACTACATAAGATCCACAGAAAGGCAACTCAAATAACAAACAAAACAGACCAATGATGAAGACTTTTCCATCCAGCTCAAGGGTCACAGGATGGGCATGACTGAGACTGCAGGAGATGTAAAATTAATTATACTTTACATTAGCACAGCACTCATTAGTTTAAGGTGTACTTCTCTGTCCATTATTCATTCAACAAAAGCTGAGCACCCTGAGCTGAGTACTACGCAAGGAAGGCACAAAGATGAAGGAGGTTCAGTTCCTTTCTCAAGTTCACTGTCTAGTGTTTCTTTACAACCTTATACATCCTTATTTCCGCTTGACAATTAAGCACACGAGGGTTTAAGGCCGGCCTGTGGCTCACTCGGGAGAGTGCGGTGCTGATAACACCAAGGCCATGGGTTCGGATCCTATATAGGGATGGCCGGTTTGCTCAATGGCTGAGCGTGGCGCTGACAACACCAAGTCAAGGGTTAAGATCCCCTTACCGGTCATCTTTAAAAAAAAAAAAGGACACGAGGGTTGAACTGTGGCTAAGAGCAGAAGCTCACCAGCTGAGATATTTTAAGCATATTCAACCTGTCAGGCTCACTTTCCTCAAAGTAAACAGTAATATCTACCTTGTGGGGTTTTGAAGATTAAGAAAGAAAATACACAACAAAGTGCTTAACTTGATTCCTTGCAGGCACATGATAAGCATTCATTCAGCCATCATTATTAAGTGGTGTACAAAGCATTTACATAGAAGTTTATTTACCCCATTTCATTCTTTTCCTCCCTCCAAACCTCCTCTGGCCCTGAACAAACCCTCCTAACAACTTTGGGTCACCATCTATCCAAGCCAGTCATTTTAAGCCTTACTCTTGTTCTGATCCCTTTGACTTACATATTCCTGCCTCTCCCTTTCCTTATCTCTCATTTTCTTACCGGCCTCTCCTCTTCTCTCCCCTGACTCCTTGCCTTTGGAGACTAGAGGCTCAGATTTGCTGTATGGCTACGGGCAAATAAGTCATTTAACAGCTGATTCTCAGTTTCGACACCTGAAAAATGGGAACAGTACTACCTACTTTACAGGATTGCTTTGTGGAAAGTGCAAGCGCTGTGTAAACCGTACAGCGCCTTAGAAATACTCGTTACTGTCACCTCTTTATTCCTTTTCCTTTTCTTCCTCTTCCTGTTCCTGACCAATTGTAGGACTAAGAAATTCTTCGAATTGAATGTTAGGAAATAACTCCAATCAGAGTGCAGATTTGCTGGTTGTTCCGCCTTCCATATCTAAAGGAGCCAATCAGATTGCCTGGAGAGTGGCGCGGTATCGCCACTTGGAGACCACCTGTAACAGGGCTTGCAGTATTCTCTGTTCTTAAGCCCAGCCTCTCCTCGCCTCGCATCCCAGTTTCCCGGTCTTGGGTGAAGAGTACACCTTAGTATTCTCTGTTCTTAAGCCCAGCCTCTCCTCGCCTCGCATCCCAGTTTCCCGGTCTTGGGAGAAGAGTACACCTTCTTCCTTGTCCAAGCCCCCAAATTCTGGCATCGAAAGGGTTGAACGGCGGAGACCGGAAGTGTGCGCAGTAGCGGCGGATCCCTAGCGAATCGACGCCGGAAGTAGCCGTAGCTAGGGAACTACTCCTCAGGCCTCACTATGGCGGCGATTCCCCCAGACTCTTGGCAGCCGCCCAACGTTTACCTGGAGACCAGGTGAGGGGGGTTGGACTTCTGGGGCTGGGCTGGCTGAGGCGACGCGGAGCCTCGCCGCAGGACTCGGATCCCGGCGCGCTCCTCCGGAAGCCCGGCCTCCACGTGGAGGGACGTGGAGCGGCGGTCGTGAGGTCCCCCCGAGGGCTGGAGGGGACCGCCACCGCCCGCGTCCAAGCTCCGCACTGACTCGCGCGGAGACCGCAGCGACTGCTGCCTGTTGTCCTCCTCCCTCCACCACGTTCGTTCCTTCACTCACACATTCATTCATTCATTCATTCATTCAAGCCAGGCACGTAGGATCTGGAATTTAAGGATACAGAGGTGGATAAAACACACAGTCCTGCCTTTAGGATCTTACGGTATAGTGAGGGAGGCAGATATGTAAATGTTATATAAGTAGTACTGTTGTGTGAGCTAATTACATAAAAATACAGGAAGAAGCACATTTTCCCCTTTATCAAAGAATGATATGATAATGATAACCAATTTGCTAATGACATACCCTGATGTATGTATGCCACCACATTTAGTTTAATCCTCCCGGCAACTCAAATCGTGAAGGTATTATTTTACCTCCTCCTCTACAATTTTAGCAGGAGAAATGCCAAAATTTACAAATTAAATGGCTTGACCAAAGTTTGCTGGCCTCACATGCTAGGTTCTTTAGGTTCATTCCATTATTTCTTGGAAAAAGTTCAAAGTGAGCTTTCCAAGATAGGACAAGGGATCCTGCTTAAAAACCTTAAATAACTTTTTGCTGCTGTAACAGTGTAAAGTTAAAACTTCTTGGTGTGGCATTCAAGGTGATTTTTTTCATCTGGCCATTGCCTACTTGCCCTTCAGCAGCAGCCAGGAGCCAGCCAAGGTCTCTCTGCCTGTCTTTCTGTTCTGCCCATGCTGCTTTCAACCAGAGCACAGCGTTCTCTTGGCCCCTCTATATTTGCTCATGTTCCCCTTGCTCCTTGGCCATCTTCTTCCCCACCTTCTTGTATGGCAAAATTCTACTTCAGGACCCAACCTGTAATTTCTGGACTCCCCTGTTAGTATATTTTTAAGCTACAAAATAAATTGAAATTTAGATCCAAGCAATGTAGAGGTGTGTAGAGTAAAAAAGTAAGAGCCACCCCTTTCCTGAAAACACTATCAATAGTTTGTTGGCTGAACATCCTTTTCTTTTCTATGTACATATAAACATCTTTGTTTTATATTTAACAAAAATAGGATCATATGATCATACTGTATGTGTTTTTTTCTGTAATTTACTTTTCGTTCACTAATGTGAGAGGACTTCAAAAAGATCATGGAGGGCCGGCCCGGTGGCGCACTCGGTAGAGTGTGGCTCTTGCGAGTGCGGCGGCACTCCTGCCGAGGGTTCGGATCCCATATAGAGACCAGTCTGCTCACTGGTTGAGCGCGGTGCGGGCGCGACACAGAGGGTTACGATCCCGTTGCCGGTCACAGTACGGGGCGCGACACTGAGGGTTGCGATCCTGTTACCGGTCACGAAAAAAGACAAAAAGGAAAAAAAAAAAAGATCATGGAAAAATGGAATTAAAAGATAAAACTGAAAGATACAAACTTTTTCTCAACATAAGTTCTATCAAGTTCAAGACACTTTTGTAAGCAATAATACCAGCCATTTAATCCATCCCTAAAGAACTGAGGGTCTTGAGAATTTAACCATGCCAGTGCAGTCTTTTTTTACATTATTAACTGAAAAATGGGTGCCCTTTGAAGATTTAAGGCTAAGAAACAAAAAGTCAGAAGAAGCCAAATCAGGACTATAAAGTGGACGCCTAATGATTTGCCAGCAAAACTCTCACAAAATTGCCCTTGTTTGATGAGAGGAATGAGCAGGAACATTGTCCTGGTGGAGTTGAACTCTCTGGTGAAGCTTTGGTTAACTTTCTCAAAACACTCTCATAATAAACAGATGTTATCGTTCTTTGGCCCTCCAGAAAGTTAACAAGGAAAATGCCTCAGCATCCCAAAACACTACTTGTAAAGCTAGGGCTCACAGACCCCTTGAGCCCGTTGTCCAGACTGGGTCATAAAACCCTCCACGTGCAGGTCTACGAGCTTGGTAATAGGAAAAGGTCCTGGGAGCCGTGGGTGAAAAATTGATAGGTTTTATTCAGAGCTAGGAGCAGCCACCCAATGGCTTCCCGGAATGTCTCAAGATGGCCATCTATCAGAGCCTTAGTCCTTTATACTTAAGTCCATAACCCAAAACACTTGGGTGCACATGTGCAATCACATTAGACAATAACAAGGAACACCTGGGCACACGTGCATATTAACATCAGATGTTGGGCAAGATTCTGAACATCTGTGGGGCCCTGATCATTTTTTTTTATATTTTCCCAACTCTACTGCCATAACCTTTGCTCCTGACTCGTTTGCTTTTGCTTTGACTCGGCAACTTCTACTTGGTAGTGTGGGCCAAAATTAAGGCTGAGGCAGAAATAATTTCATGAAGGTTTATTGAGAACCAAATGTAAGGATTGACCTGGGAAACACAAACCAACAAAGTGGAGAAGTGCTCCAAAGTCTATTACAAGCTGAAAGATTTTATGGGAAAATTTGGAAAAGGGAGGGGGACTCCCCACACCAGAGTTGTCCCATATTCATTGGTGAGTAAAATACAGAATTACAACCATTAGTTACAGATTACAGCACATTAAGCAAAACGTGTCCATGTGCAGGATGATGCTTCAGCTAATCTTAAAGATAACTTTGCTTGGGCCGACCCAGTGGCGCACTTGGGTGAGTGCGGTGCTGGGAGCGCCAAGGCCGCGGGTTTGGATCCTATATAGGGATGGCCGGTGGGCTCACTGGCTGAGCGTGGTGCGGGCGACGCCAAGCCAAGGGTTGTGATCCCCTTACCGGTCACATAAAAAAAAAAAAAAGACAAAAAAGATAACTTTGCTGTTTACTCAGAATTAGCATACTATACATTCATTGGTACATCAACAATTTTAAGAACTTACATGAACTCTTTAAGAACAATGTCTCACCCAAGTCATGAGGCCCCCTTCAAGGCAATTGATATTGTTTTGAGAACTGCTTGTGTAGCTGAGTCAGCTGCAAGTCATCAGTAGCCACTGCCGTGATTGTGCTTTGTCTTCAGGATCATACTGGTAAATCCATGTTTCATCTCCTGTTACAGTTATTTGGAGAAATGCTTCAGGATCTTAACTTCACTTGTTTAAAATTTCCATGGAAAGTTCTGCTTTTGTCTGCAACTGATCTGGGTGCAACAGTCTTGGCACCCTTTGAGCAGAAATTTTGTTCAACTTTAATTTTTTAGTCAGAAATGTGTAAGCTGAACCAATTGAGGAGTCTATAGTGTTGGCTATTGTTTCTGCTGTTAACCATCCATCCTCTTCAATTAGGGCACAAACAGGAGTAATTTTTTCCTTGCAAATTGATATGGATCATCTGCTGCTGCAGGCTTCATCTCCAACATCATCTCGTCCCTTCTTAAAACAAGTTATCCATGTGTAAACTGCTGATTTCTTTGGGGCATTGTCCCCACAAACTTTTCATAAAGCATCAGTGATTTCACCATTCTTCCACCCAAGCTTCACCATCAATTTGATGTTTGTTCTTGCTTCAGTTTTAGCAGAATTCATGTTGCTCTGATAGGGGCTCTTTTCAAACTGATGTGTTAACCTTCTTAGTGCCTCAAACTAGACCCTGTTCAGACAAGTTGTAACAAGTTACTGAGAGTTTATTTTGATGCAAAAAAAAGTTTGCAATCCATGCATAGTTTTTTCCTGTACTAATCTTCCGTGAACTTTTTGAAGACTTGTCGTACATATTGCTGCTCATAGTATGGATGGTTCAAATTTTAGTCATTTCCTCTTTCAAGGACTTGTAAATTACTTTTTTGCTGTGAAAAATACTGGAATGAACATCCTTGCACATTGTATCCTTAGGCACTTTTATAAAATTCCCTAGAGAATAGATACTTAGAAGTTGAAATTGATGAGGTATGCACATTTCATACTTTTGTAAGTACTTCCTGATTGTCATTCCAAGAAGTTATTTCCTGTATTTTAAAAATATCCACCAGAATGTAAGCTCCGTGAGGGAAAAAGCACCTAGAATAGCGCCTTGCCCAGAGTAACTAACTGTTAATCTGTATTGAATGGTAGCAGTGTAAGGATGAATTGCAGGCAGAAAGGCTGTTAGAAAGCTGTTTTCTAGCACATTCCACATGTGGTTATAGAGTGTTTGTTCATACTGTGCAAGGCACTGTGCTAGGCACTGAATATCCAGGTTTGTTGGGAAGATGGAATGGTTTGGTCAGGGCCCTGGCCTCAGGTCCAGTTGGGTGTGGTTCAGCATCCTTTGTAAGCAAATTTTGTGTGTGTGTGTGTGTGTGTGTGTAGTTAGTGCGCATGTGCGCCAATGTATCTTTTTAGTTTTATTGCTATTCTTGTGTTCTTCAGAGAGAGGAGTTTTAGTGAAGTAGCCCACCCAGTGCAGCCATGCTTTCCAACCTATGGCTCCAAGGACCTTTTGGCCAGTTACCTAGCTCATAGACCTGCGTGAAGGGGTCTGGTGACCCAGTCTGGTGTGTGAGGGCTCTGGGGACCCAGCCCAGCTTGTGAAGGGTTTGTGGCCCAGTCTGTGAACGGGCTTGAGGGGTCTGTGGGCTCCAGACCCAGCCCTAGTGCAACAATTGGCCCAGTCAGTACAGGATTACCAGCGGGTAAAGGAGCCCGACAACTAGCATGGTCGCCTAGCTTTACAATTGACATGAACAGCATAAGAGCTAGACAATTGGTGCTGTGAGCAGGATGCAGACATTAGCCCGCGGCTCACAAGGTTATACAGAGTCGACTCAGTTTTCACATTCGTTGACCTTAAAGTCCAGGTGGGTAGTAGAATAGAGGGGAAGGCACCTGTCCTGTCTCATGCTTCTTCCCTTATCCTTTAGTGGTATGGGGAGAAAAAAGCATTCCTCATATTGGGTAGGTGCAAAGGTTTGAAGTAATCAGGTTTTGCCTTTTTGTACTTCCTCCCTAACACGTAAACCGTACCTTTTTTTATATTTAATTTTTTTTGAATAGGTAATATATTTACAAGGATCAAAAATACAAAAGCTTAAAAAAGGTATTCATTGGACATCTTCCTGTCTCCCCTCTACCTGGTCCCTACCCCTTTGCCAGAAACTTATGTATGTATAAATAAATATGAACTCCTGATATTTTAATGTCTTTTTGTTTTTTAATATACAAATTAAGTGTAAGAAATTTTTTCCCCTAATTTAGTGGTTGTTTATATTGGTTTCAGATGATCAGTGATTTATTTTTATATATAAGGTATTAGAATTCTGAGTTGTCCACAGTTGTTATTTAGCTTAAAAGAAATACCAGAATCCCCTGTGTGTTTTACTCAAAAGAGATAATCTGTGTTTATGTTACTTGCATTGTGTTGTTTTCCTTTGCTGAAGATGAAATCCAGTGGTTGTCACAATTTCATTAGTTGTAAGCTTGAAAATCAAGAGTCCTGGAGCGTTCCCATAATACTCCTGTCTGCCATGATCTTGTTCTTGACTGGACCTGTGCTGTCCTCTTCCCCTGCAGCATGGGAATCATTGTGTTGGAGCTGTACTGGAAGCATGCTCCAAAGACCTGTAAGAACTTTGCTGAGCTGGCTCGTCGTGGTTACTACAATGGCACCAAATTCCACAGAATCATCAAAGATTTCATGATCCAGGGCGGTGACCCAACAGGGACAGGTACAGTTAAGCCAGCATTGGTTTTTGAAATCTTACTCTGTCATAACTGGGTGATAAGGCAGCCAGAGCTCACTTTTTTGGTGGCTGATTGGTACAGGGATCTAAACCCATGACCCTGATGTTACAAGTCTGCAGTTTAATCAACTGAGCTAACCAGCCAGCAGAGCTCTTTTCCACTTACCAGGCATTGGTTGATTCTGGTGACAGCTCCTGTCTTCCCCAGACACACGTGCAAAATTGACTAGAAACCAACCTTGACTCCTGGGCTTGGTAGAGTTACTCATAACTTCCATGTATAACTCACTAAGAGTAAATAATATTTTCCTGAATTGTAGTGATGCATAGAGTAGTCTCATCAATCAGAAGTAAAGAAAAATATCATCTGCAATGTTTTGAGAAAAATAAAATACTGAGTTCTTTCATTGATTTATTCATTTAACAAATACTGAGCATCTGCTTTGTGTTGGATACTTTTCTAAGCTGTAGGGATATAACTGTAAGCAACTGCTCTCACTAAAGCAGGAAAAGGGTGTGGGGATGCAATTTTAGATGAAAGTTAGGGAAGTTATCTCTGAACACATGTTATTGGAGCAGAGGTCTGAATGAAGAGAATGAACCTTGTGACTGGTGGGAGAGCATTCTAGATGGCACAGAGGCCCTGAGGCAGGAGCCTGTGTTGGAAATCATGTAGTACTTAGTAGGGTAAGGTAGAGACTTTGGGTTTTACTCTGAGTCAGATAGGAGCCATTGGAGAGTTTTAAGCAAAAGAGTGATGTGATCTGACCTATGCTTTTAAAAGATCACTCTAGCTGCTGTTTAGAGAATAGATGTAGGGGCAAGAATGGGAGCTGGAGACCACTTAGCAGTCTGCTGTAGTCATCCAGTCGAGAAATGTGGTTGGACCAGGCCAATAATAGAAAAGGTGGTAAGAGGTGACTGGATTCAGGTTACATTTTGATAGAGAGCCAATGGGATTTGCTGACAGATAGGATGGGTGGTATTAGAGAAGGAGATGGTCAAGGATGACTTCAAGGTTTCTGGCCTGAATTTACTGAAATGGGGAATGCTGATGGGAGAGGAGGAGGTTTGGAGGGGGAAGATCATGAAATTGGTGTTGGGCATATTACATTTGAAACACTTAAAGGTTTTCAAGTAGACATGTTGAATAAGTAGTTGGATATAAATGGCAGTTAAGGAAAGGTTTCACATGAAGTATTAATTTGGGAATTATTGACATTTAGATGGGATTTGCTAGTGAAACTGGTGGAACGCTTACTCGATCAAGGGTTCTTGCATCTCAGTCTGCTTTTTCTCTGATAATTCTTGCTCTTTTGCCTTTAAACAAGCTTGGTTCTCTCTGTGGCAGTCTTTTTTCAGGCTTACTCTTTGTCATTATCCTTTATGGCCAGAGCATCCAATTTTTTCAATGTATATGGACACATTTCAAAATATAGAATATACAGAAAAGTAAAAAAAGGGGGGGAATTTCAATGTATATGGACACATTTCAAAATATAGAATATACAGAAAAGTAAAAAAAGGGGGGGGAAGGGGCCTTCCCGTGGCTCACTCGGTAGAGTGCGGTGCTGACAACACCAAGGCCACGGGTTCGGATCCCACATAGGGATGGCCGGTTTGCTCACTGGCTGAGCGTGGTGCTGACAACACCAAGTCAAGGGTTAAGATACCCTTACCGGTCATCTTTAAAAAAAAGGGGGGGGGGAAATCACTCATAAGCATAGTTCCTAAAGATTTCTAACCGCCATTATCTAATCTCACAATATCCCACCTCTCAGAAATGAGCAATGTTAACCTTTGGTGATGGTGACCATGACTCTAGACATCTTTCTTTTCAGATTTGTTGTTTAAAGGATGGCTGGATGGATAACTGAATAGCTAGGTGGAAGTAATTTCAGAAGGGGATATGCTATGCCTGCTATTGTTTTTAAAACAAACGGTATTACATTTAATTTTGTATATATTTAGAAAATTTGACTTCCTGCTGTGAAAGATGAGGAAATTAGTACTTAAATTTCTGCCCATTCTCATCCCCCCTCCTACTTTTTGTTGTTAGTTTTATTATTTTCTGTTTCACCCATAATTCCTTCAGCTACAGTGTGGGTTCTACATTTCAGTGGATTTAGTGCTCGCCACTCTGCTTTTATCTTCACAAGTACTAGAGGGAAGATTTCTTGTCCAGTGGTTTTTATGGCAAAGGCTGGAGGGTGTTATATTTTTTAATTCATTCATGTTTGTTGGGCTTGGGCTCACACCCTTCAAACCTGTTGTACAGACTGTGTCACAGACCCCTCACATGCCAGGCTGGGTCACAGACCCCTCACATGCAGGTCGCGAGCTAGGTAATTGAGAATGATCCTGGAAGCCGTTGGCAGAGTTGACAGGTTCATTCCAATGTGAGCTCGGTCCTCAGCTTCCTCAGCAGCAGCAGCAGCTTACAGCAGCCTCCAGCAGCAGTAGCAGTGGAATCCTGGGGGCCCTGGTAGCAACAGCCTAGTAGGGGGCGCCCTGGGGGCAGGGGACACTGTGGATCAGAGCCATTTGTCCATTATACTTAAGTCAGATAACCCAGGAACACCTGGGTGCACGTCAGACAACTAAAGAACACCTGAGCGCATGTGCACAATTACAGACAATAACCAAGGAATACCTGGGCACACGTGCGCAGTTATTTACATCAAACTCAGCAGGATTCCGAACAGCCGAGGGATCCTGACCATTTACCTTCACTTTCCCTACTGTGTTTTAAGAATTTCTGTCCATTGCCTTTATACTTGAAAAAGACCATGATTGGGCAGCAGGATTCCGAACAGCCGAGGGATCCTGACCATTTACCTTCACTTTCCCTACTGTGTTTAAGAATTTCTGTCCATTGCCTTTATACTTGAAAAAGACCATGATTGGATATACTGTTCTTGGGCCATATTCATTTCCTCAGATCTTTTTAGACATTCTGATCTATCACCTCCTGGTTTGAACATGGTTTTAGAGAATGCTAAGGCCAGGTTTACCCCTTCCTTCGGTTCAGGGAAAACTTTCTGATTTCCATTTCTGAATATTTTCTCTGTTATACTTACTGGATTTTCTATTTCAGCAAACTAGTCATTCTTTGTTTTATCACCTTTGCCTTTGATATCTATCACATTTCTTTTGATAGTTTGAGATGATTTTTTTCCTTTTTTTCCCTGCATTCACTGAAATAATCTCAGACCTTCACTCTGTGCATTATTCAATTTTCAGTCATGTCTATTCTGTTCTTTACTGTTCTAATTTATTTATTAGCTCTTTATTGGTGTCATTTGGGTCTCAGTTTGTTTTCACTCTGCAACCCTTTCACCTTATTCTGTGATTTATTATGTTGTCTTTGAGTTTTGTTTTATTAGAGTCTTCTTTCTTTTTTTTATTGGTGGCTGGCTGGTACAGGGACTTAAACCTTTAACCTTGGTGTGTGATCAGCACCATGCTATAACCAACTGAGCTAACCGACCAGCCTTAGATTCTTATTTCTGTTGAATAATCTGTAGATTGAGACAGCATTGGAGAAGCCACTTCTTGGGCTTTGTTTTCTCCCAGACTGAGTTCCTGAGGTATTTTTCCTTCCTTCCCCCTCTCTTTCTGTCCTTCCGTTTGTTGTGGGATGTAGTTTCTGTGCCATTTCTTTTCATCTTATCCATGCTTGATGTCAGCACCTATGTTGTCCCTACCTTTTATTTGCTCAGATACGGTGTAAGTGGATTCTCCTTGTCATTCTCCCCACCTGTGTAGAATCAGTTGCTGTCCCACTCCCAGTACTAGGTTCCTTTCTCTCTGTTTTCTTCTAGCCTGGGGAGGTGTGAGAGAAAACTGGAGCTCAACTGGAGCCCCTTGTGTGAGGGCTAGCTTCTGTTCTGTCTTCCCAGACACTATTCAAGCCCTGTTCCAGGGCCCCCTCTAGCAGCCAGTGGTGTCCCTATACACTTCCACCCTGATCTGAGTAGTTCCCCACGTATGGCCCAATGCCTCCAAAGGTGTCGAGCCCTGGTTGTCTGCCTGCACTCCTGAGCCGCTGTGGTGTGTGTGGGCTTCTGCTCTCAAGGGCTTCTTCTTAACTTTTTCAGGGCTGCTCACCCCCTCCCTCTGTTGGTTTCTCAAAATTGGAGGGTATTTGTCATTGATGACCACACTGCTGGAAACCTCCCAGGCTCCCAAGCCAGGGTGGGGGGGTGCCAAGGGCCTCAGCCACGCCCTGTGATGTCCCATTCAGCCCAGTGGCAACTGAACCACTACCATCAGAAAGCCCCCAGGCTCCCCAGCAGGGGTTGGGATAGCCCGCTGGCCTTAGCCATGCTCCCCCCAACCCCCTCCACAACCAGGCCAGTGAAGGAGCCAGCCCTACCCCCCAGCTCCACCTCCATCCCCTTCCCCCCTCCCACTGCTCTGCAACATCTTTGAATGTAAAAAAATAATAATAATAAATAAATTTTTAAAAATTAATTATGAGACTGTTAGGCTGAGACAGCTCCAGTGCCTTGGGCTCCTATGTAAATAAACAAATCAGAAACCATTAAGTAACTTCTAACTAGAGACTTTCCACTTTAACCAATCAAATATTTCCTTTGTCTTGCTTCAGGGAATAGCTTACAAAAGCTTTCCCTACCTTCCCCTCAGTCGAGCCCAAACTGCTTGTAGTTTGATGCCGCCCAATTCGTAAATCACAGTCAGCTCAAATAAACTCCTTAAAATTAAAAAAAAGAAAAACAAAAGAAAAATTGTAGAGTATTTGTGAGAATTCTCAGCATGACACTCCTTTCCTGACTACTACCTTCAGGGATTGCAAGCAGGAGAATCTTCTACTTCTTTCCTTGACCAATTCTTTTAGGAATTTTTAGAAAGCTTGTTTTCTTTTCTTATTTGGTTGATGCTGGTGAATTTTTGGTTTTTTCAATTTTAATTTTTTTGTGTTCATCTACTACCTTCAGGGATTGCAAGCAGGAGAATCTTCT